AAAGGGTTAAACCCAGGCGAGGGGACTCGGTCGGATTTGCCTCCTAAACGCATTTTCCAGTTCATTCCCCAGCACAATATGCCTGGGCCAGTCCCAGCCTCCGCCCCCACCCCACCCGTCAGAACGGGCCACCAAAGGCCACCCCGGGGTCGTGCGCGAGGTTAACCCCTCGGCTGCCGGCAGCCTGCACCTCGAGGAAGGACACGCGGGGCACCCTCGGGAAAGTGGGTCATGCAGCTACCTGGTTGGCTTGAAGCCCGCGGCGTCTCCTCCAGGGAGGGCCCTAGAGCTGGGAGTAGAGTTCCGAGGGGGAGCCCGGTCCCGGGCCAGGCCGGGAGGTTGCGATCCTCGGCTGCCCCAGCCTCACCCTCCAGGACAGGAACCGCAGGTGAGCCAGAAGCCGCCTCTGCCGCAGCAGCCGGCTCTCCGCGCCCGCTGTGGGGCGGTGTGGGGCGGGATGGGGCCCGATCGTCCAGAGCCGACCGGCAAAGAGGCTGGCGAAACAAACGAACCCCCGCCCGCCCCGCCATCCTCCAAACCCTCAGCCCACCAGCTCCGAGACTGACGCCCTCCCCCTGGGGCTGTTGTCTCCCGCCCCGAGACGGTGATTACGGTGATTATTTTGCATTTATGTAACACGCAGTGTTTCCAAACTGCTTCCCGAGCAGAGAGCTGGTTATTAAATAAATAGAACGCTATTACATATTATTATTTTTGTGAAGAACTGAGCGGAGAAAGTGCTTTCATGCTACATAGAGACGTGCATCCGACTGCTTCCCTGCAGGGCAGGCTGTTCGGCTTCTCAATCTCTTTCTCCGCCGCGCCACCTCCCACCCCCTTTACCAAAGCCGTGACCCAACTTTTCTGGCTCCTTTCACTCCCCACAATCCAGTCGTGCCCGCCATCCAGCTCCCATCCCCGGGGAGGCAGTGGATGGGGGTGGGGACAGCAGAGGTGAGTGCGCTTACCTGGGAGGAAGAATGCGGTCAAGCCGAGAGCTAGTCCCCACCAGCGTCCAGCGGCGCCTGCAAGCCCCATCCGAGCCATCGGGGGCCGGGGGTCCGGCGAGGGCAGCGCTCCTCGCGCTGCAGAAACCAGCCCGGAAGACTAGGGCGGATCGCTGGCGGCCGGCGGGCGCTCGGAGGATCCAGGTCAGCCGCAGCCGTCGGCCGGGGCGGGGTGGGCTGGGTGGGATTCGCGCGGCCGCAGTCCGGGCCCCGGGCCGCCGCCGGCTCAGAGGCTCGGCAGATGCCCGCCGCAAGTTGCACGAGTCATGCCCCTTCGCCTCCTCCGCTCTCCTCCTGGCGCCGGTCCCCGCCCTCTTCTTCCACGCAGAGCCGGGCTGGGGAGAGGGACCCACCCCCGGCGCGCCCGGCTGCCCGGCTGCGCAGCGCGGGCTCCTGGCTCCGGCGCGCTCACACCCTCCCGCTCGGCTCCAACTTGCAGGCGTCCATGGCCGGCCGTCCTCCGAGGGTGGCGGGACGCGCCCCGGCGGCGCGGGAGGCTCGGGGCCCAGGCGGCAGGCGCAGAGCTCTGCGGCCCGCGGCCCGGGTGGTTCTGGCTGCGCGGCCGGGCGCGAGGAGAGCGGGTCAGGGGCGCCGCGCGTCCCAGCCGCCGCCGCTCTGCCGGTGCCGGCGATCCGCAACAATGTGGAGCCGCGCTCGCTGCTCTCGCTCTTTCTCTCACTCGCCGAGCTCCAGCCTCTCACCCGCTCGCCCGTGATGTCAGCCCAAGGGGAGGGGTTAGCGTTAACCCCCTCCTGGCCTCGACGCGCGCCCGCCCGGGCCCGGCCGCAGCCCGAGCGCACGCGCCTTCCAGCCCGAAGCAGAGGCGGATGGCGTGCTCGGGCCGCGGGGTCCGGCTCAGGACCCTCGCTTAGGAGCTGCCACTCGGCCGCCTTCCAGCCGGGGTGCGGGCTGGAGCGCGGGCTGCCCTCCTCTCCGCTGACAAAGGCAGGCAGTGACCCCTAGCGGCCGGCGGCGCCGAGGCTCGGCGGGTGGGGGTGGAGTTAGGACCCGGCCGGGGGCGGCGGTGGAGGAGCCGGCGGGATGGAGAATCCCGGCTAGCAGCTTTCGAGCTGGCGGGGCTTCTGCAAGCCCTCTGCTCCCACCCTGGCCCCATTTCACAGACGAAGAAACGAAGGCCCAAAGAAGAGTTCCTCCTGGGGCGGAACATGGCAGAGCTCGGAACAGAACCCAGGCTCCGGAGATCCCTCTCTGCACCGCTTGGACGCTCCACGGAGAGGCAGCGGTGCGCGGGGCGACTGGGAGCTGCCAGAGAAGTCGGTGGTGGGCAGGAGTGCGTGAGACGGGCCCACTGAGGTTTCTGGTAGAGTTTCTTTTCTAATCCCTGCTCCCTTCGGGGCTTCCTTTTCCAAAAATTGAAGCACCCCGCGCCCCGCCCTTGCCCAAACGGAGCCTGAAACCGAGCTCTCCTCCAGTTGCCAGGACCTTAGTTTTGAGACGTTTGTGGGATTCCCGCGAAAGCGGATCGTCCAGTCAGTGTCACTGGCAGGGCAGGGACTCTCCGCCCCATCCCGTTCACCACCCACCACATCCGGGTGTGGTAGGATTCCTGCCAAGGCGACTGCGCCCTCCGGGCCTGCCCTGCTCCCCTTCCTCTGGTCCTCCTATCCCCACTCCCTGCCCTGGGGGAGGAAGACAGACGGAGTTTGCCACCACGGAGAGCCGAATTCTCCCCCAGACCCTGGCCTGACACTGCTCCCTCTATCCTTTGCCCCGTCCTCTTAGGCGGGCCAGAGCAGAGGGGAAGTGGCTGTTTCTGATAACATGTAGATTCTGGTTCCTGACAGTAGGAGTGGCAGATGGAGGAGGGGCAAAGACAGCGCCACATTCCCACTGTTTGGGATCCGGCCCGGAGTGTCTCGGTTTCTCACTGAAGTAGTCAAATCTGGCACTCTCATGAAACACTCACCCACTCACTGTACGGTCTTTCACATTTAGCACATGTAACCTGGGGTTTCTTTGAATCAAAACACAGTGCCTGGCTTGAGGGTACAGAGACATCATCATTGCCCTAAAGGAACCCAATCTAGTTGAGGGGGTGGGGGAAGACAGACATAGACACAATATTTCATCCCATATGAATATTGTAAACATATATTTCATATGGGATAGTGGGGGTTTGGGTGTCACAGAAAAAGTGCCCAGTTTAGCCCCGGGTGGCATTAGTGTAAAGGCTTCAGGGAAGGGAACACAGGGGCTCGGTGAGTCATCTGTCAGACAAAAGTTAAGTGCTGGAGGGCAGAGACATTCAAGAGACTGGATTTAAGGTAGGGGGTCTGCACCAGGAAAGGAATGAGGGTAAGCAATAGTCAGGTGAGTAGAGGGCCTGCAAAGGATTGGCTGGACATAGCCTGAGCCTAAGACTTGAGGAAGGGAGAGGTCTGCAGATTCGTGAATCATGCCCGTAGCCGCTAGAAGGGGTTTAAACTGGGAACACCCTATCAAATTTAGTTTGTGGCAGCTGGGAATCTCCTATCTGGCTGCCGAGTGCCTTAAGGGCCAGGGCTAAGTTGAATTCACTGTGATGGCCTTCAGCTTGGTCCCTGGCACATTGTAGGAGCTGAAGGGATGGGTTTGAAGGGGCAATCCCAGATGTACCAATGTCTTCTTGTTCCCCGCTCTTACCCTCCCATCCTCTCCATCTTTGTTTATTTTATTTTTTTGAGACAGAGTCTTGCTTTGTCATCCAGGCTGGAGTACAGTGGTGCAATCTAAGCTCACTGCAACCTCCATCTCCCAGATTCAGGTGTTTCTCCTGTCTCAGCCTCCGGAATAGCTAGAATTGCAGGTGTGTGCCATCACACCCAGGGAATTTTTGTATTTTTAGTAGAGACGGGGTCTCACCATGTTGGCCAGGCTGGTCTTGAACTCCTGACCTCAGGTGATCCACCCTCCTCAGCCTCCCAAAGTGCTGGATTACAGGCATGAGCCACTGCACCTGGCTGCACCCTCTCCATATTTAGGTCAGGCTTCTTTGATCTTCTGATCTTAAATGACCTTCCAAAGAAAGTGTGGCCAGCAAGGAGGATGTGGCTGCCTGAGGATTGGTTGGGTGGAGAAGATGGAAACAAGTAAGCGATATAATATGGTTGTTCATTCATCGTCTTTAAACAAGCAGGGAAGATTGCTGGGGGAGGTGACATTTAACTGAGACCCTGAAGGACAGATCAGATTTGGACCAAAGGAGGCAGAAGAGAGAATCTTAGGTGGAAGGAACAGCTTGTACAAGAACATGGAGGTGTGTAGAGGTGGGAGGGGTGCCACCTGTGTCAGGACAGTAGGCAGTCGTCTGGTTCGTTTTGCATTTTAGTGATGTATAAGAGAAAGGGACAGGTAGGGCAAACAGAATGCAAAAGGTCCAGAAGGTTTCCTTTAGTGACAGGAAGAAACACAGGACCAAGCAGCAGGAGAGCAGGCTCTGGTTCTTAAGCTATAAACCCAGGACTCCCTCTTGCTGCTTTCCTCTTCCTAAACCACCATATTCCAATTCTGTTGATTCCTCCCGATGTATATATATTTTAAGTCTGGTGACATTGCTCCATTTCTCCTGTCATTACTCTAGTCCGTGCACTCGTGGTTTCTACCTGGTCCTTACAATACCCTCTGACAGTACAGCCAGTCCGAACTGAGGTGGGGAGTAAAATGTAATGGTCCAGCCCATGGAAACTCTGGCGAGCTAATGTGCCTGGATTGGAATTCTTAATCTCCAGCTCTGACGCTCAGTAGCTGTGTGTCCTTGGGCAAGCAGCTTAACTTCTCTGTGCTCAGGTTCCTTCTCTGTAAAACAGGCAGAAATAAGAGCACCTCTTGAAGTTGTGAGGATTAAATGAACCAAACATGTTAAGTGCATGGAACAATGCCTGGTGTACAGGAAAACTGTTTAAAGTATTAGTCATCATTATTATTGCCACCTGTCTCCCCACATCCAGTTTTGCTTCTTTCTGAAAATGGTTTATATGCATTTTACAAAAATGATAGAGTTTCCACATGCCCTTCATTCAGCTTCCCTGAATGTTACCATCTTATAGAACCATGGTACATTTATCAAAACCAAGAAATTAGCATTAGTATAATACTATTAACTGAACTACAGAATTTATTCAGATTTCCCCAGGTTTTTTCCTGCTAATGTCTATTTTTTGTTCCACAATTTAATCCAGGATACAACGTTACATTTAGCAGTGGATTATCTTCAAATGCAGATGGTCAGGTCTCCACACCCAGGAAGCATGTTTTGGCCTGCACTCTGAGACCAGTGTTCGGTCCTCGACAAGGCCTAAGGGCCCATGCCTGCTTCTGCAGCCTCATCTCACCCTGCTCTGGGCTTCAAGTAGGAGCCACTGGGATTTCCAATCATCAACATCACCTCCTCTCCCTTCTCTCAAGCTGTTCCATCTGTACCAACACTCTTCCCTTCTTTTTGGCCAGCTGCTTATCCATTCGGGCTCAGCTTACATGTGTTACTTCCTCACAGTGGCCCACTCAGCCCTTCAGACTGGGTGAGTCTCCTGCTATAGGCTTTGCATACTTGGGACCACTTTAGAGACGGTTTATTGTGCCTGATTCACTCCCCATTAGACTATCAGCTCCTCTAGGGCAGGGATCATGCTTCTTTTGATCTCTGCTGTATCTCTACTATGTAGAATATGCCTGGTACCTGATAGACTTTTAATGAAAATGTGTCAATTAACTCACATCCTGTGCCACTTTCTACCAATCACTTCCCCTCGCTGGACCTCAGTTTTCTCACCTGCAGACTGAGGAATTTAATTTGTTCACTGATTTTCCAATTGTGTTTGGAAACCCTAGAATTTCTGGGGCTCAAGAGGAGCTACATTTAAAGAGCATATGTTTTCATGTGCTTCAAAATTGGGCTTCTGAGAAAGATCTCTCTTAATGGATTTTGAAGATTCTGCTGCTTAAAAAGGTTTGAAAACCTGACAGATTATTATATATTATGAATTACATATAGTTGCCTGATTTTGCAACTCCATTATTTTTATTTATTTATTTATTTTTGCAGGCAGTGGTGAGCCATTGAAGGTTTCTGAACAGGGAAGCACTTATTGGGAGCTGTCAGAGCTGTGCTTCAGGAGATGAATCTGGCAACAATGTGGGTAGGATGGACAGATGATGATTGGTCAGTGGAGGAGGAGGGGAGCCAGGAGAGAGGGTTGTCATGGAAGCCAAGTGAGAAGAGAATTTAATAGAGGAGGAGGAAGAGGTTGCTAACAGTGTCTGATGCTGCAGAAAGCAGGTGGGGATCAGAAGGGGTCTTTGGAAGCAGTGGCAAAACCACGAGTGACCTTTGATAGTGATGTTGGTGACCAGGCAAGGGCTGAACCCAAATCAAAATGGGAGGAGGAGCAGCTGAAAGGTGAAAAGGCAGAGGCAGAAGGTACCCTCTCTGCTTTTGAGAAGTTTGGTGGCGGACAGAACTAGCAAGGTGGATGAGAAGCTGCGAGAGGGTTAGCAAGACAGACCGAGAGGCTTATTTTCTCCTTTTTCATTAGAAATCAAAAGCTACCGAGCATCTTGTAGTCAGGAGAAAAAAAGCTAGTGGACAGTGAGGGAGTAGAGACGCAAGTAGAAGAAGTGAAATAGGGTGTCATTTATGGAGCAAGCCCTGTGGGGGGGGGGCACTGAGAGTGGGAAGGGGTCAGCCTTGGAAAGGAGAAGACCCATTTTTCTCTAAGCCTGGAGGGAAGGTGAAGAGAGTAGTGAAGGTGGAAGTTTTGGGGTGGAGTAGTGAAGGGGAAGTTTATCATGTCATTGCAGCGTAGTGAGAGCTGACGTTATCTGCACAGAGAGGTTGGAAGGTGGCTTCAGATTTCACAGTTGAGAAGGCCAACAGGAGTATAAGGGGGGTGTGACCACCAAGCTTCCAGAATCTACAGGGAGAAAGAAGCAAACATCATCTGTGTGTCTTCACGGGGAAAAGTCAGGACCAGTAGGTATATTTTTGGGGAAGTAGATTTCAGTTTAGGCAAGGCTGTTCAGGGATCTTAGTTGACCGACAATGGAATGACCTCCCAGTCACTTTTCAGACTCAGGCTGCAGGCCCATTCATCAGGCATGCTGTGCATGGGCTTCTTGCCCTGGCATGGAGTGTGGATGCGACGAGTTCCATGCTCCCTCCTGGCTCCGAGACTTGATGACTGCAAGAATGACAGCCCGCTTGAAGAATGGGCAGTTGGGCTCACCTTTCTCACCGACCTCAGGACTGGAGGCATGAGGGGGGCAACTAGAAAAGAGTTCAGCCCTGGGGAAGACGCCATCCCTAGGAAACTCTCCTCTGAGCCCTCCCTTGGCTTCCACAGGCTCTTTCAGAGAGACAGCTGTTGAGCTTGGAAAAGGCCCAAAGTCAATACAATAATGACTTCCCCTCCCGGCTATATCCCAGGCCCCTCTGTGTCATTCAGAAATTGGCTAATAAAGTTCACTTTGATATGAGAGGAGCCCTATTAAGAATTCTCCAAGATTCCCCAATCCCCTGAAATCTGTCAATAGGAGAAGATATGTTGGCGTGGTATGCTGGATGGGGGTCACCCCTTCTGTGTCCCTAGTCCTCACCCTGGGGTCAGTTGAGGCTGAGAGCAAGGGGAGAAGAAAGAAGGAGGAATCCGTGAAGAAAGTCTGGCTAAAGTCTTAGCCAACCCCAAAAAGGACCCACCTGGCATGGCTACCCCTTTGCCCTAACTTGACGGGCCAACCTCACCCCAGGCAGTGCTCCCAGGTTAGGTGGGAAACCACAGCACCTAATTACTATGATCATCACACTGGTGACTGTGGTGATTATGATGGTGCCTCTATCCCACAGTGCTTAGCAGTATTTAATTACTGTTATTCCAATGGAGATCACTGCAGAGCCTTGGCTGCCATTGCTCTTGCGGATGGAGCAACTATACACAGCTGCACCCACTCCTCAGTCCAATGATCCACCGTGTTGAAGTGCTGCCAAGATAGTTAGCAGACACCAGCCTCTTCCTATGGGCCATGGTGTCCCAGGGATCTGCATGGCATTTGGGGCTGGAGCTCTGAGCAGTGAGAGAAAGGCTCCAGTGCCATCTTGAACCATCCAACTCTCCGGAAAGAAGGGAAATTGATCTATGCCCTATGTCTATGGTCAGAAGGCCCTCGATATACGCCTGTGAATCACTGTAACCCAAATCCTGAAGAATTCTCAATGTGCATAGAGGTGGCATTCCTGATTAGGGATGGGAACACTTAAAACTCAACAGTGGTACTGAGAAGAGGGTTTCATCGAGGATCCGCGTAGACCAGAGAGCTTAGGTCATGAAAATGGGAAGGGACGGAGTGGAGCTTCCGCGTGGAGCATACCTTATGTAGAAAGACAAAAGGAAAAGGGGCCTTGAGAAAGGAAGATATTCAACCTCCCACCCATACTCTCTTTCCTTTGATGATGCCCTTATATTCAGGGGTGGGTATTATGGTCAGGATAATTATCAGGATGGACTACTTGTCTAGAGGAACGAGATTTTTCTGGCAAGTTACATGGAAACCAAGGAATAGAATGTATTATTAGGGAAGAACGGAGTTCCTGGATCAGCCCAAGCCCAGCAGAACAAGCTCAGGGTGGACGCCTGCCTGGGAGTGGGGAGATGAAATAGGGGCTATAGAGCTGGGGGTCTTACCTTTTTGGGCCTCAGACCTTTTCAGGATCTGATGAGCACTATGTCTTTCCCCAAAAACTGCACATACGCACAAGGACAGTGTCTGCATGGCAACCTGATGAAGCCCAGCTGGGGCCTTGAGTTAGAATCCCTGCTGAAGAAGGAGTGCTTTGGGAGGGAGGCAGCCCTGAGCCCAGACTCCCTGTGATCTGGGCTAATGAAGGATGCTAGTGACATGGAGAGTCCCAAGCAGCGAGGAAAATCCAAGCCAGACTTTATAATGTGAAGTGAAAAGAACAAGTATTATCCATAGACTGCACTACAATTCTGTAAAAATAGGCACTTATAAAGAGAAAAATGTAAAGGCGACATGGAGAAATGAAAATAATTTGTGGGTGAAGAGTTTTTATTTTATTTAAAATTTACTTTAATATCATTACAAAGCTACTTTAATAATAGATTTTCTTCTATATTGTGTAAAGTACTTTTCCTGTAGAAATGAGCTTTTGAATTATATTTGATGTAAGTTAATATTAATGCCCTGTGCTTCCTGAGTACATGTTTCCAGAAAGAGGTGATCCAGGAGGCTGCCAAGTGACCTGCAGGTGACATCCAAAGGGTGGACAATGCCTATGCCGGTAACTGCATTCCGAGGAACCTGAGACCACACACTGCTCAGGAGGCAGCCGATGCTGTGTTCTGCAGTTAGGTTTGAGTCCTGGACCTGCCATTCACTAACCATGAAACCTGGATTTTACCTGGGCTGAGGAGGGGGCGGTTCCCAGGACATGGGACTTTCAGTGCTGAAACTGGGAAGCTCCTGAGCAAAGTGGGACAAGTTGGTCACCCTATTAATGGGCTATTAATACCTCTCTGAGCCTCAGTCTTCTCACTTGTGAGATGGCATTGGTGACTCCTGGGATCTTTGTAAAAGCATTTTGTATGCCGTTTTCACACCTGTTGGGGATGATGATTATCATTGGTGGGGTGGGATGGAGGAGGGGGAGTGGGGAAAGGGGTGTTTCTCCCCAGCCTTGAGGCTTGAGAGACCAAGAGCCTGTCTGGATGGATACTATGATTTGTGTATGGAGAGCTTAAGACAACTAGTCTCTCACAACTGGCTTTCAAGAATAATTCATTCAAGAAATATGTATGAAGCACCTACAATCAGGTCTGTGCTAGGCATCTGGATATTCTGCGAACAGCTGCAACATGCTGTCTTCCTTCCTGCAACCAAAGTCTAACAGGGAGGCAAGGGTCCATCAGGAAGCAGACGGCAGGGTCTTTGGGAATGTCAGGTATGCAGGGACCCTTCCCTGGTCTAGGGTGTCAGGAAGGGTCAGGACGTGTTCCTGCAGAGATGAGCAGAGCCCCCTTGAGGGGTGAGGACTGTCTGGCCAGGGATGCCATGTTGTAGAGAAATCAGGCACAGGAGAAGGCAGCAAGAAGGCCCAGAGGCTGGGTGCTCCAAAGGACTGAGAATAGTTCCTTCAGTCTGACTGGTGCAGTGCAAGAGGAGAGTGAGAGACAGGGGTGTGGGGAGTCACAATGCCCATGTCATGTGGGCCTTTGTGCTATACTATGGAGTCTGGACTTCATCCTAATAATCCTGAGGGTGGTAGGGAGCCGTGTGTGATAGGGCTGTAGCAGAGCAAGCGTGTTTTATACCTGGCCACTCAGCAGCCCCAACCCCTATTGTGCTCAGATGGCATTCCCAGGCCAGGCACTGGTTTGTCCTGTTAGGCCCAGGTCCTTTGGGCTCTCTGTCTCGCTCTAAGGCTCTGAGCCTAGCCCATCTGTGGAGCGCTTCTGCAGCTCCAAACCTGGTATAGTCAATCTGGACATTCCCCTGGCAGGGGTCTGCTGCCTGGCACAGGCTGTGACTCCAGAAAGCAGAGTGGCACCCCCTCCCAAGCATGCTGCTGTCACCACAGTGTGTCTGTGTGGGTTTGATGGCTGCGTGGGGATGGTGCTCAGGGCATGCTGGGGGCTCATGCAGCCCAGGCAGCTGATAACTAACAAACAATTGCGCTAATCGGCCCAGGAACAGGGAGGCAGGTGTGCACCCCCATTCATGTGAATGCACACACGACTTGCACACATATTCAGATTCACTGACATTTATGCCCATCCTTTCATTGAAACTCAAGCGAGCACATGGAGAGATTCCCTGCTACCTGGATGAGATGAATAGGCATTGCATTACTTTACATCCCATTACCTTCATCAGAGACGTGCCCCTCCCCCACTAAACATGGATGTCACAAATGCTCTATACAATGCCTCACACAGATGCCTGCATACCTACACTGGCCCAGACCCCTTCTCATGTTTTTACAAACACGTTACAAGAATTAAAAAGGAGCATCCATATCAAGTGTCTAGTACAATGCCTGGTACATAGAACCATTATATTCTATCTTAATATGCTATTATCATACTAAGATACTTTAATGTGTGCACATGTACTGATGCACTCATAGACACACACATTGCCCCATACACTCTTTTAAACCCAGGTGCACACACAAGAGCTCTACCCTTCCACCAACTGGCACATACACTCCCATGTGTGCAAACGAGCTCACTCTCAAAGATGTGCAGGTTGCTATAATGTGCTTTCCCATTTGCACCTACACACAATCACCGCCACAATAATAATAATAGCAAAACCAGGGTGGATGATTGCTTCATATTTTTCAAAGGGCTTTCAGGCCTGTAATCTCATTTGATCCTCACAGCAGCCCTGTGAGATGGGTGGGTGGAGCGGTCATTATTACCCCAGGTTTATAGTTGAAGCAACAGAAGCCAGAAGCGTGAAATTTGCCGTCTGGGAGGTGCCTGAAACTCAGATCTGACTTCTCGGTAGTGAGCTTCCCGTGCATATCCGACAACGTCCAGCTCTCACTACGGAAAGCAGCAGCCAGGGCAGGGGCCTGCTAGATTCTTGATTCCTGGTCAAAACATTTTCCTGAGTCAACCCCAGCTGAGAAGTGGAAATTGGAGGCTGATAAAGGGAAACCGCCATCATTAGAAATCCCATAAAGTCTCATTTACAACTCCCTGTCAGATGAAAGGAGCAATTGACTGCGTTGGAGGGAAAAGCAAATACTGATTTCCTTTAGGACTGCCCAGCCTCAGACAGCTGGTCCTGGAAGGTCCTGAGGGTGGGGGGATCCTGTCCCATCTGGGCTGTCCCCAGCTCTGTGCACTTTCTTTCCCCTCTGCCTAGGCCTGCCGGGGGGTCCTTAAGCTCTAATTTGAGGAGAAGGGAGGAGAAAAGGACAAATAAGGCTCTCCCCTTCCCTTGCATCCCCCTCTGCTCCCATACCCAAGAGAAGAGTGGGAGCTTCCCTCTTCTCTTCTGCTTGAGCCTTCGGGAAAGGTTCAGAACCTTGTCTCCTACCTGGCTGGGCCAGAAATGAGGAACAGGTTGCAGGCCCTCCTCCACCTGACCTGCCAAGTCCATATAGGCTGCGGCCTTAGATCCAACAACTTAGAAAGGTAATGAGGGCAGCTTCCTTCAAAGGGCCGTGTTCAGTGGGGAAGTGCCCTGATGATGAATGGAGTGATGGTCCCTTAATCTGCTTCCGATGCTGCTGCTGCTTCACTCTGGTCTCACCATTATTGTGTGCCTTAGTCTCTCCATCTGCAAAATGGGAATAGCAACACCAAACTTACAGTGCCACTGTGAGGTGTGTAAAGCGCACAGCACAGTGCCTGGCACGGGACCCACGGTGTCAGGCCCTGTCCCCTGCCCAGGCAGCTTCTGGAGGAATGCCTCCACTGCGAGGGCTGGAGGGGTGGTGTGGCAAGAGTTGCCTCCCCAGCTTCCTGGGTGTGCCAGCTCTGGCTGGGAGGGAGGGGCAAGGAAGGGACATCTGTTTGACACTCTTATCAGCATCCATTACCTGGTGTGTATTTTCCCAGGAGCTGATTACATTACAGCATGTGTTGATAAACATTTGGAGTCAGAGTACAGAGGAAACTGAGCAGAATGTTAATCGGGTGGTGCTTTGGTCAGGGGATGCTGAGAAAGGGCTGGCTGTGATAAGCTGGGAGTGGTGATCAGGGCCCCGATCTGGGGGCTTCTTCACCTGCCCAGCCCCTTTCTCTTTCTGATCTCCCTCCACCCAACTGCTCTGGCCCTAGCAGGGCATCCAGATATGATCCCAGAGAGGTATGGGACTTGGGCCTGACAGAATTATGGTGTCCAGTCTCCGTTCTCCCATAAACTGGCTCTTGGCACTCTGTGTCAGTCTCTTACCTCCCCGGGCCTCAGTCTCCTCCTCTGTAAAGTGGGCTTAACCATCACTCCACAGAGTGGACCAAAGGTAAAAGGAGAAACCATGCCCCATGTCCTACATATAAAATTAAGTACTTGGTCTCAGGGCTCTTTTCCTGTGGTCCCCAGTTTACCCCCCAAAAATGGTCACTCTTGCCTGGACTGTTGCTCAAATGTTAGACAACTGCTCTTACTTCTATTTTGAACTGGAAGTGGGTTTATGTTCTTCATAAGGCAAACACCCCTACTTCCAACCCTAGTTAGGGCAGGAGCAGGCAACCCAGGATGAGGGCTGACTCTTCCTCCCTTTTTCTACACCTGTGCACGTGCATGACAGCTGTAGCTAGATAATTATTTGTGTAGTTATCTGCCTGATGTCTTTCTACCCCACTAGTCCATAAACTCCCTGAGGACAGGTCACAGTTGAGTGTCTGCAGTCCAGCCCAGAGCCTGGCACTGGTGGGAATGGATGACTCTCCCCATCTGATTGGTCTGGAGCAGAATGGTCAAGATAACCTGACTTAGGGTTCTGTGCTGTCAAATTCCACGATTGTTTCTGAACTCAGAGCCCTGGATATAGCTCTCGCTTGGTCTTTGGCATAGATGACCTTGGATTCACTTTTCCTGTGGGGTATCTCTCTAGTCTCTCTGAGGTTGTGGGCATTTAAGGATGTGCACCTGTCCCTCTGCCCAACTGTCCAATTTAGTGGGCATGGACAAATACACAAATGAATGAAACTGTGGGAATGCTGCTCCCACCTCCTCTCTGCCTTGGAGAGTGGGCACCTGCTCCCCCTAGCCCACCTCCAGGTGCCCTGGGTGCCTGGGACCCTGTGGGCTGCCTGGAGTCAGGATGGGCACAATGCCACCTAGTGGTTGCGGGCTCAGGGGAGCGCGTCCCAGTCCTTCCCTGTGTGGGACCCAAGATCCCCTTATTATTTATTGGCCTTAATCTCTAGGTCCACAGAGAGTGGAGACCCTTGGGGAGTGTACTCTTATCGGGGTATGGGGAGTCCTGCCCGATGGCCATCAGCTTGGCTTCGGCACGCTGGGTACCCAGGAGGCAGCCTCCCACCTGTCCCCCACACACGTCGTTCCAGTCCCTCCACCACAAAGGGGCCATTGATTG